GAGAATGAGAATGAGAATGAGAATGAGAATGAGAATGAGAATGAGAATGAGAATGAGTCAAGCAGGCATGGCTGCCATTTTTAACACCAATGAAGATCCAGCTTGTATGATTATAATAATTCTTTGCATCATTTATTCTAGACTAACAGGACTAATAAGCTGCCATAGCTCTTACGGTGATTTATGAATAACTGAGATGTGTTATTAACTTCTATGAAGCTATTTGACTTGTATGTTCTGACTTTCTTGTTGTGCAGATGAGTACAACAGAGTGTTATTCAAACATGAAGAAGAAGGGAGCAGAGAGAGTGAACTTGATGCCGATTCTTCTGACGAGGATAGTGATTGTGAAGAGGAACCCAATAAATACATCAATGCTTCCTTTGTACCAGTATGTGTACTTGATTCATTTTGAAGTCACAGTTATTTTCCAACTTTTTTTAAAAAAAAAAATCATTTAATGAAAAGGCATTCTTCATGACACAGAAACCTAAAATGTCCTTAAAAGATTTCTTTTCATCAATGTAAAAAATATCTGATTTCTTCCCCTCCTACTTTCAATGAATATTATTATTATTAGCATATGGCATTGTTACAGTAGCCAGGAGACCACAAGGTTGTTGTAGAATAGTAGTTTGGCTTGCCAAGATACCAGCCTGTTATAGGACACGCTTCCCAAAGTATGCCACAGAAGGGCAAGATGGCTTCGCACCAGAGAGAAAGACAAGCAGCTCTTCCTGCAGTAATAATAATAATAATAATAATAATAATAATAATAATAATAATAATAATAATAATAATAATAATAATAATAATAATAATAATAATAATAGTAAAGTTGGAGGGACCTTGGAGGTCATCTAGTCCAACCCCCTGCTCAGGCAGGAAACCCAAGGGAAGGGAGGGGGCCCTTCCTGGAGTTGCCTCACAAATGGGTGACGCAACTGAGAAGGTTCAGAGCCATCAGGAATCTGCACAGAGCACCATTTTGTCTTCCCACCAAAGTGGACAGAAGCTGAGGCGAGTGACAGGAGCTCACCCTGCCAGATAGTGCTTGGGCTCAAACTGCCAGAGCTGAGACCATCTCCAGCATCATTTAGCCACTGAGCCACTACGCCTCAATGGATATGTACTTATAGATGTATACAAACATATGAATCAGTATATATTGATTTCTTGAACTTTATGTCAGGAATTAACTGAATCAGCCTTTTGGGGTTTTATTTGATTTCTCCCAATTGCATGGATGATCTTTAAAGCAAGTTACCATCTTTTAACCAATGTCAGACGGTAATTTATCTTTCCTCTAATTTACCATGCATTCAATTTATATGTTACTCCCTGCAAATTTTCATACTATTGGTTTTGAATTATTTGTTTGTTTGTTTGTTTGTTTGTTTGTTTACAGAGTTACTGGACTCAAAATGGAATTATAGCAACACAAGGACCACTTCCAGAAACAATAGGTGACTTCTGGAACATGGTTTATCAAAAGAAAGTCAAAGTTATTGTTATGCTGACGGACAATCAGGTGAGCGAATTTATCTCTATATAGTCATATTGCGACTATATTTCTGTTGTGGAAAAATGCCGAAGTTTCAATTCTCTAAACCAAACACTGTAGAGATACCCTGACTGAAAGCATATCCATTAGGAAACAAAATATACCAATTAAATCTACCTCAGTGGCACCTATCCTTGGTTGAAAGGCAGAGGATTGTAAGTGATTGTAAGTATTTAAGTGAATTATCAAAGAATATGTGTTTAGAAAAAGATATTCAGTATGTTATTGTTTTCAGGTGTTTTACAAATGCAGTTATATAATAGCACTTAGACTTATTACCGCTTCATAGTGCTTTATAGCCCTCTCTAAGTGGTTTACAGAATCAGCATATTGCCTTGGAAAATCTCATTGGAAGGCTGAGTCAACTTTGAACTGGTCAGGATCAAACTCCTGGCAGTGGGAAGAGTCAGATTGCAATACTGCATTCTGACCACTGCGCCACCTTGGCTCACTGATGTAATGCATCTAACATTATCACAAATGTTACAAACATCAGCTATGGCTGATGTTTTGCCTTGCCTTTCTAGCAGATAGCATTCCTAAATTATAATTTTATTAAACTTATCAAAGTATAAAATACAAATGAAAAAGAGGATATGCATTTTTTGCAGATCCCCCCCCCCCCCCGGATATATGTTGCTGTTTTTTTTAAGTTCCACACTGCTTTGCAAAATTTGTTAAGCCCTGCCTGTTTTTGGAGCTCACACAATGATTTTGGTCACTCAGCTCAATCTGCCTTACAAAACTGGAAGCTTAAGTGATGGGAAATCTTCAATTGTTAGATCAGGAGTCTTCAAACTTGGCCCTTTTATGACTTGTGGACTTCAACTCCCAGAATTCCTCAGCCAGGCATGCCTGGGGCATGCCTGGCAAAGGAATTCTGGGAGTTGAAGTCCACAAGTCATAAAAGGGCCAAGTTTGAAGACCCCTGTGTTAGATGAAAAACAGCATAGAAGTGATTAAGACAGCAGGCTAGAATGTGGGAGGCTGTGAGTTCTTATCCCGCCTTAGCCATGAGAGCCAACTGAGTGACTTTGGGCCAGTCACTCTTTCTCTCAATGCAACCAACCTCACAGGGTTGGTGTTGTGGGGAAAATGAGAGGAAGGAATGTTGGATATGTTCGCTTCCTTTGGTTATTTGTAAAAACGATGAAGGCGGGTACAAATAAATAAACACGTTAACATTTTGAAATCTTAATGTTGCGTTCCTAACTGTGTATTTGTTTGGAAATGCAAAATTAGGTTTAATTTAGAATCTCCCTAAATATCATCCACAATTAAACATGAAATATCCTGGAGCTATCTGGCCTTTCACATTAGCATTTCCAAGAATTGGTGAAAGAAGCATCTATATACCTGTAATCCAGGCAATTCGTTTCCAGTTTTTGTCAGCCTGCTTTCCTATTTCTCCCCATACTATGGTAGTTTTGCATATCTAAATAATAGGTCTATGCGCACATCTGATTGCTCATAAGAGGAGTTAAAATAGGGCTTCATGCTGCATGATTAAATTTCATCTGTTTGAAAAGATCTTCAGGTGTTTAGGCCCTATGATCCAGTTCGACCAGTGGTGGGATTCAGCTGGTTTGCACCACTTCAGCAGAACCAGTAGCTAATTTTTTTTTGCCCAGGCCCAGAATGGACTTCCGGAAGCGGCATCCACACAGAGTTGTTCACATATTTGAATCCCACCACTGAGTTTGACCTTATTCAAGAGAAAGGGAATGGCTGGTTTTTTTTTTTTCTTCTCAGTGGAATACCAAGTAAAGGAGGTTCTCAAGTTATAACCAAGCACAATTGGGAGCAGAATTTGCTTGCTAAATAAGGGGGTTGTTAAGTGAGCTGCACCTGATTTTGCAACCTTTCTTTTTTTCTATGGTTGTTAACTGAATCACTGCAGGGGTTAAAAGTGAATCACTATGGTGGGTAAGCAAAACTGGCTTCTCTCATTGACTTTGCTTGCTGGAAGCCAGCTAGGAAGGTTTTCAAATGACCGTTATGGGCAGTCCTTAGCTTACCTCCACAACTGAGCCCAACGATTTTTTTGTTGTGAAGTGAGACATTTGTTAAGTGAGTTTGGCCCCATTTTATGTTCTTGCCTCAAGTGAATCATTGCAGTTGATAAGGCGGTAACCCGGTTATTAAGTGAGTCTGGCTTTCTCCCATTGACTTTGCTTATCAGAAGGTCTCAAAAGGGGATTGCATGACCCCCGGCACACTGCAACCGTCATAAATGTGAACCCATTGCCAAGCACCGGAATTGTGGCCACACGATCGTGGGGGTGCTGCAAAGGGCATCACTGTGAAAAATGGTCATAAGTCACTTTTTCTGTGCCATTGCAACATTGAACAGTCACTAAATGAACTGTGTAAGTTGAAGACTACCTGTATGTGATCCTGGGACACTGTCGTAAATACATGCCAAGTGCCAAATCCTGAATTTTGATCATGTTCCCATGGGGATAGAATTGAATAGAATAACAGAGTTGGAAGGGACCTTAGAGGTCATCTAGTCCAACCTCCTGCTCAGGCAGGAAACTCTATACCTTTTCAGACAAATGGCTGTCCAATTTCTTCTTGAAAACTTCCAGTGTTGGAGCACCCACAACTTCTGGAGGCAGGTTATTTCACTGATTAATTGTTCTGACTGTCCGGAAATTTCTCCTTTGTTCTGGGTTTTTCTAGGATGGTGCAATGGTTGTAAGTAAGGAGGACTGGTTGGAAGTAAGTCTCTTTTCTCAGTGCCATTGTAACTTCAAACAGTTGCTGAACAAATGGTTGTAAGCTGAGGACTCCCTGTATAGTGCTCTTTTATAATTTGGTTCAAGGCATTTTATTTTGTCCATATTTCCATGTACGTTTCTTCCACATAGGAAACACTGATACAGTCTTTCTTCAATTCTAGGAACTCTGTGCGCAGTATTGGCACGAAGAAAAAATGACATACGATAATATCACAGTTGAACTAAAAGATAGCAACTGTAGTCCCAGTTACACCATTCGTGCCTTTGATATAACTCATGTAAAGGTAAAAGGACTAATTATTCATCCTCATCTACTTCGTCTCTGGCTTTTGCTTGCATTTCCAAAGTTTCATTTTCTACTTTCTTTAGTGTCCATGTTTATTTCTATATGTTATTAATATCATTAAGCAAATCTGGATTTATTTTAAATGCTACAGTACTATGCTTCCAAATATTGAACTGATGGAGATATATGTATCTTTATATCTATCTATCTATCTATCTATCTATCTATCTATCTATCTATCTATCTATCTATCTATCTATCTATCTATCTATCTATCTATCTACCTACATACCTACATACCTACCTACCTATCACTATCTCTATCTCTATCTCTATCTCTATCTCTATCTCTATCTCTATCTCTATCTCTATCTCTATAGCTATAGCTATAGCTATAGCTATTTTTATATATAGATATAGATTCCTTTTAATGCACACAGCTTGGAGACAAACTATTGTTGTTCAAATGATTTAAAGTAGCCTGTATGAGGAAGGCATATTTACTGTTGTGTAAATAGGATTCATTTCATAGCATTTCATTTGATGCCCTACAGCTGTGCTGGATTTCAACTATTATAATTCAGACAACATGACAAACATTGGCCATATTTTCTGGGGATTCTAATGATCTCCAACTCACTAGGAATGCCTCTTGAATTTAAACCATGATGTAGACCCCCTTCCTTCCCTTCCCTTCCCTTCCCTTCCCTTCCATATATCTCTATCTCTATCTCTATCTCTATCGTACTTGGAAAGCACCTACCATTATGTCATTACGGCATCTTTTGAGACCCATCTCTTTATTTAGATAATCTTTACAAGAATGCCTATGTATGATTGTTTTTTGCAGTAATTTTATTTTTCTATTTAAATAATTTTCTTTTGTTTTAACTCTTTGAAGTTATACTTTTTCAATATGTTTGAACACAAGAACAGAAATAGAAACAATAACAATAAAACTGTGAGGCTTGGCCCATTACTAGAGAGAAGGAAAGTGCAAAACAGCAAGTATTGTAGAAACCGGATCCAATCTGGGCCGGTCACTGGGACCAGAGGTTGAGTCTTCAGAACTTTTGGATGCATGCTGCGGCCCACCTTTGGGGAATTTCTTTCTAACTTCTCCCCAGCTCATTCTGCTGGAGAGAAGTTCCCTGAGGATGGGCTCCAGCACATGTCCGAAAACTCGGAAGACTAAACTACTTGCCCTGGTGACTGGCCTAGACTGGATCCTACAACAGTATCCTGGGACACATGTATTCACCTTCATTCATTGTAGAAATAGCCTAGTCAATGAGATGTTGGGAAACAGGTCTGTGAGAGTCACCTATGTGTTGATGCTAAATCCCTCTTAAAAGTCTGTGTCATTTACATCTAGTTTCAGGTTGGTGTTTTTCCTTACATGGAAACATTGGACAGAGGAGACTTCTGTCTCTATTCCAGGCCGAAGACACCCCACACAGCTTCATAAATGTCAACTCGTGTTTTTATTTGACAAACTTGAGCAAGGCACTGAGCAACTAAACACTTTAGTCACTATAATCTCAGTAAAGAAGCTCATAGCTCCTAAGATTTTAAGTAATCTTTTGAGGAAACATTAGTGAGATCTTTGGCTTTCCGCAGCAAAAGTAATCATTTGGGTCAGCACTACGCCAGGATTTCCAGGTTAAGTATTTTGAACTTTGTGCATGTACAAGTAAGGCTCTGAACCTTCATGGATTATTTTGTTCTGTTTGTGTTTGTTGCAGAGGAAAGACAACAAGAAAGTGTTTCAGTATCAGTACCATAAATGGGATAGTTCTGCTCTCCCAGAAACCCCCCAAGACTTAACCACCATGATTCAGAATCTCAAACAGAAGTTTTCAACCCAAGATGCAGCTGAAGCAAATATGACCAACAAGATCAAGAATGTCCCACTTGTTGTCCACTGTGGGTAGGTATCATCTTTAGTGGTATTTTGACATGCTTTGAAGGTCTGTTGTGAGTTAATGTGCCTGTTGCATGTATAATACATACATTGGAATAGGTTACTGTCAGTGGTGGGATTCAAATATGTGAACAACTGGTTCTCTGTATGGATGCTGTTTCTGGAAGTCCATTCTGGGCCTGGGCAAAAAAAAATTAGCTACCGGTTCTGCCGAAGTAGTGCGAACTGGATGAATCCCACCACTGGTTACTGTATGTTCTATAGTTCTTGATCCTGAGGCAGAGTACAAATGTATAGCAACAGTGTCATAAATAGGAAAGATCAGCCCTTGCTAAAAAGATTGACGTAGTTACTTAAGAGTAATTTCCTTTATTAGTCTTCATCTATAGACAGAATCTTGCCAGACTAAAGAAACCATTTGCATAATACAGATATACTCTGGGAAACTCTAGGGAGGAGCCATTTTAACCCTCTTCCTGCAAACCATTGTTTCCAAGATCCACTGCCTTTTTGCCCTCTGAAAAGCAGCCCCTCCTTTCCTGGGAATCCACACCACACTGAAACACAGACAGGAATGAAAACAAATCTTTTGTGCTATTATATAAATTATTTGTTCAACAAAAGCAACATTATTTATTGCTTAAATAAACTAATTTATGTAGCCACACATCTAACAAACAAGAGACTCTGAGTGGTATACAGCAGAACTAAAAACAGTTAAAGTATCCATTTTATATCCTTTATATAATAGTGTCTGGATCCTACCCAAAGGAAGATTTCTGGACTGTTTTAGTCTAGAGCAGGAGTAGGCAACCTTGGCTCTTTTATGACTCGTGGACTTCAACTCCCAGAATTCCTGAGCCAGCATGGCTCAGCATGGAAACCTCTCCCTTTTCCCTCAGCATGGCTGGCTCAGGAATTCTGGGAGTTGAAGTCCACGAGTCATAAAAGAGCCAAGGTTGCCTACCCCTGCACTAGAGTCTATTTTCCCCTCACAGCACTCTTGATCATGGTGGCTATGTTAACAAGGACCAAACTCTGGAATAAGTATTCATTCTGTTTGAATTCAAAGTTGTTTTACCTGAATCTATGAAACATCTGTAATCCTGTGCAGTGGAGGCTCTTACAGAAAGCCTACAGTACTTGTGTCATAGAGACAACTCAGCAAAAGGTTGGCGCTACTACAGAAAAAAATGGAGCTCTGAGAGCATGACTGTGAACACACATGTTAAACCATAGTTTGCTTTTCACCTGTCTTTACACAATGATTAATAATTAGACATTTGGATAGGGCTCAAAAAACTGGAATGAATCAGGGAAGCACAAACCTACTATGTTCAACTGCACACATATGTAACCAGTAAGCCAACAAGCAAGATGGAGAGAAAGATGGGCAGCATATCAATAATGGAATAAAATAAAGTCAGTAATCTATATTTTGCACAGAGCCCTAAATCAAAAGTTAAGGCTTCTGCAATTATTCAAGAGTGCAGTACTGAAATCTTCCATCTACTTCCAAGACTTGGCCAAATTTAAGAACCATGGATTATTGTACTTAATCCCCTCTCCCTTTTTATTGTTATTCTTTGAACTGTTAATTCATTGGAATGTTTCTTCAATTATTTAAAAAATGATAGTAACATTTGTTTTAATATCAAAGTAAGTTGTTTTTTCATTTTGCAAATTTTTATTAATTTTCAAATAAACATAAACAAATACAAATGTGGTGCATTTCATTAAAAAAAAAACCTAGTCAATATATTTTCAGAAATGATCGGCGGTCCCCCCCCTGCATCCCCCCTCACTCCTTCAACCTTCCTACCTTCCCTCTTCCTTCCTCCCCTCCTACCCACACCTCTCTCCTCCTTCCTCCTTTCCAACTATCCTACACATCCCATCACCTTCTTTTCCACCTCCTTCGGATGCAGTTTAGGGGTACTAGC